AAAAAATATATATATATTTATATTGCATCAAAAAAGGCGTCGAAAATAACTATAATTTTTTATCAGAGCGTAATTATGATAAAACTTCAGAAGATTATCGAGATCACCGATTTATCGAAACGCTTATAAAAAATATCCTGCTGAATTTTCGTACAAGAAGACATACCGCGGTCTTAAATTCGCGAGGGAATTCATATCGGAGGGAAACCTTGCGCGAAGATTTTCAAAACACTCTCCCGGTACACCCTACGAACTTTCGTTGCGTAAACACGAGATTTTCTGGAAGCATTTGGTATAATTCCGACGTCGAGCGTGGCGAACGCGACTATCTTTCTTCAATTTCCATCAGAAATTCTATCAGCGCCCGGCATGCCGCGGAATATCGCGTGATGATTGATAGCGAAGAAACTAGGTTAACGGCGTCCTTTTTTCTTGCGTTTTGTTTCGTTCGCGCCGTTTCCGCCTTCGCACACGTGCAACGCGCCGTGCGCGAGTCGCTCGGACACCCGGGCGAACGTCATCAAGACCGCTGACAGCGAGTTAAGGCCGCCCGGGAAAAAATCCTTTCAACCTTTCCGAGGGAGGAAAATTTCGCGCCCGTTTAATGTACAGATAAAATGTGGAAAATAGGACAAAAAAGAATCCATATTTGGATATTCCAACCACACGATTTAATGTTGAGAGCGGCCATTAATTACATATTTCAAGATTCAGACAATCGTACGATCGAGATAATTTCGATCGAAATAATTAAAGCTGGTATTCTGGAGAGAATGTATTCGCATTCGGCAAACTTGCGACAATGCGTGGGCGAACGACACTCACGCTCGCGTCTGATTTTCAGAGTCGAATCGCGAATCCGCAAAGGGAAGGAGAGAGGAAGTAACTTCCAATCAGTGTAAAATTCAGGGAACGTCCCGGTGTACGTTGAGATCCGGTCTTCGTGGAAGATCTTCAGGAAGATAATCCTAACGTAGACGGGAACGTTCCGTGCATTTTACACTGAATGCAAGTACCGGGAGATTTTCCTAATTACCCGCATCACCGTTCGACTCGCGTTGGCTTTGCGTTTGTATACTTGAGTCGCGTACCATGACATTTCAATTGAAGAATTAGATAGCTGCATATACCGTTGAACGCGATTAGAATACGGACGAACCGCGAAGCGTTTACTCACTGAAACGAGAAAGTTGTACGAAAAAGTTTCTTAAAAATGTTGTAAGGCTCAGTGTCATATTTTCAGTGACGTATCAATAGAACTATTCATAAATTTAGTATTTATCAAACAAAATTACATTTCTACACATTTATTGCATTATCTATAATAAATGTTAATTTGAAGTTGAAATGAACGTACATACATAATATTACACATACGAAAATATTACTTTCTATTTTTCTTATTAATGCTATATTTATGCATTAGTTGATCTAGTAGAGACGCACCGATAAATCAAAAAGAGTGTTTATTACTATAAATTATGAACTTTACACTATATTCACGCTATATTTTCAAATTAAAATTATTCAATATAAAGTCAATAATTTGGAAATTTGCGTATAAATGTCTGTATAGTAGTCTTTCATATCATTGTAGTTTCCCATCGAAATATTATTTTTGGTTTAAAAGATATTAAAAATAGAAATTAAAAATAGCACGCTAATCTCTCGAAAAACATGTATGATAAATGTCGAATTTTGTTGCAAATATCTCAGCTCTCGAATGGTCATTCTTTAATTGCACAGACAATTAAATAATATTTCGGTATATATATATATATAGAACAAGTTTCATCGAATTCCTATCAAACTCGTTTCACCTCACGACCTTCTTAAAGCTCGACGAGCTCCATCAATTTGACCACAAGTTCACAGAAAGCAGCCGACAAATAATGACAAGCGAACGCAACGTCATTAGGCCGCACGTTTCATCCACCGGACTTCCGGTAATTTTACCGTTTCTTTCTCATCGACTCCGAATGTCATATTCCACTCGCAAACGAGGAAACTTAAAAAGCTTTGAGATGTGCCGGAACGTTAGACGGAATAAACGTCTACCCGAGGCGAGTGAGAGACATTAAGAGCGAAAACGTGTCTTTTTCGAGTAAAGAGACGGACTTGAGGACGTTCTCTCTATGAACATTTCGTGATTTAACCGCGAAAATGAGGCGCAAATTCGTATGTAACTCGCAACTTTTTCAGCGTGATCTCATCCTCCTCTCTTCATATTGAAATTTTCCCAGATTCTCACAAATATAGCACAGATTCCGATTAAGATACTCAAAATTGTCCTAACATTGGTTATCTTACTACAATATTAATTGGGAATCCTATTCTTATTTCAGATATAGGATGAAGCCTCTTTTGAGTCTTTCCTCCGCGATGCTGATTGGCAGTGCGTTGCGGCTTATTTCACCGCCAAAATCAAGCAACTAAAGTTGAGTTTGACTTAATTAAATAAAGAAGTTAATCAATTAATAAATTAAGTTATATGTTTCATGCTATTATACTTGATAGTGCGCGTGTAGCGTATATGTACTTATAAAGTGTAAATACTTAAAGTGTTTCGTCTATTTTGTTCAATCGTAGTGTAAAATGGAAACGAGAAAAATCTTTGGGAACACGTTAAGGGTGATTATAGTTTAAAAAACATTTTTTTTCCATTTTTCGCGGAAAAAACCGAAAAAACCACGGGAATGAAAAAAAAACCGTTTTTAAACTCTAATCACCGAACTTTTAACACTGCGGTCCGCGGCCACCCGAAGACGCTTGACTAATGTGTTTGATCTTATCGAAGATATAATACGAAATTAGTCGCACTTATTTGGTTTATTTATACAAATGTTGACATCTAAAATCATCACATGTTTATTATATGTTTCGATTTATCGATAAAACCAATGCTGTGAGATCGCGACGGCACAGTGCTGTCGGGCCATAACGACGAAACGAGCGCGACGACATTATGCCGTCGACGGACCGCAAAGTGTTAAAACTAATGGTAACCAAAGAAAGTATGTTTATATTTCCCATTTAGGCCGGTATTTATAATCAGATATTATATTTAAAATTCTTAAATTCATCTTTAAATGCTGTACGCTCATTTCATTAGCTATGAAGCATCTGACGATGAACTTAAGACGGTCTTAAGTACAAGATCTGACTGAACCGGTCTTAAAATCGTACGAAACATTACACTTCTAAATAGAACCTACATAGATTTTCCAACCGGAATCTATAATCATTTTGGAAAATCAGTCTATGGATCTCAATTGGATCGCAAGAAATTTTCCATGCAGGTCGTTGTATTGCTTCAACCGCAATTACGCGGCCGTAGATTTCCCGAAGAAAGACATTTGGCAGTTCGCGCGACTTCAACAAGAAACTTCCGGTAATATTCGAGGTACACAGAACGAGCAGTTCCGGGGGGTCACAATAATCCAGAAGAGAAACATTAGACCAATCGAGGAAACTGCGAAAGCGACGATGCCGATTCTCGCGAACATCCATGCGCGCATTGTCGCAAATAGCGACCGTGCCGATTCTATTTCTCGTTCGTTTATTTTCCGATACTTCGCGCGTAACACTCTTACGCCAGAAATGCGGATTATTTTTTGCGCATTCGCTGCTTCGACGCGTGACGCAAACGATTTTTATTCTTCGACAACGTAGAAAAAAAATATACAACGTACGCGCGCGACAACGATAGAGCGACGAACGTGTTACGCGCATCCGCTCGCGTACAGAGACTACCATCACTGTTTCTCTCTCTCTCTCTCCCTTTAATATTCCGAGTGCTTTCCCGATTTCACACGGCGACGACATCGGCCAGCGCGCGGTCCATCGAATCGGATGCTGCGCATATGTGTGTGAGTGTGTGTATACGAGCAACGAAGCGCGTTCGCTCGAACGGTTTTTCGAGAAGCCGCTATTGTATTTCTTAAAAGCACGCGCGTCGGTGGCAAGCGTCGCGACGTTCGCCGCGAACCACTCAGACTGATTGAGAAAACGCTGATACGGATTCGACCAAGCAAGAAAATCAATCCACTCTCGTCGCAGGAGCGAGCGAGCGTTCTCCACGGCACAGACGGCGCGAGAACTCAACGAGTATCCGTTCTCGGAATCTTCCTTTCGTCTCGCGCAAATTCGGCGCGCGCTAACCGTCACGGCCGGCGGTGGCTCAACAAGTCGTGAGGCGTTTCGAGGAATCGCATCGTCCCGAGACGCGAACGTCGGATGAAAAACGAACAGGGCGGAGAACAAAAAGAGAGAGAGAGAGAGAGAGAGAGAGGCCAGACGCACAAGCGACACGTACGCGTCATTTATCCGCTTGATTGTATAACACAGCGAGTTTATTTCGCAAATCGACTTTAATTTGTCACCTTACGTACGGCGCGACGTTTTGTCAGCCGCAGTCCCGGTGTTTGCGGAGTAAATTTCCACCGGCGACCTTTGGTAGTCGCGCCCGAACAATAAGTCCGCGCGCGTGTTTTATTTACAAACTCGTTAAAACGCGCTCGCGCGCCGCCGATAGCCGCGCTTCAAGTCCGACGCGGACCGCTGGGACAGGCGTGTATTATTTACACGGTAATCTCATTAGTTTCTCCTCGTCTAATGCTCATTGTGCGCGCCTCGCGCGGGAATGTCGACTGTTAAGCCAAATAGTTTCCGGTTGTTTATTCCATCGGCATTGTCGTAACTCGATCTAAATCAACGATTCGTAACGCCCACTCGTACTCTCCTCACCGGCTTACTCGTGCCTGTGTTTCTCTTTGCACGCGAAGGAGAATCACAACAAATATCCGCAGCAATCGTTGGTAACAATTATCTGACGTGACAATAACACCCTGATTTTTGTCAGTCGTAAAACTCAGTTGGTGACCGATTACGTGTTAAGTGGAGAAACGCGGTAACGATCACCGGTGGTCACCTTGGACACGCGATACCTCTCGCACGCGCGCGATTTCCAAGAAAGAGTGCACAGTGCGGGGGTTACTCACCGCCAATAAGCGTCTGCAGCAGCAGGAGTAGAAATCGGCGAGTCGTCCTCGTCATGATTCCTCCTCGGTTCCTCTACATCCAACGAGGATCCGGAAGCGGGGATCCTTCACTCTCTTTCTCTCGACGACGGTCACCCTCGATCGTCCCGCGTTGTCCACGCGATCGCCACGTGACTCCTCGCTCCACTCTCGTCCGGGTATTTCGCACGGAGTCGTTACGCGCCGGACCGGTGAATTATCCGCGCGACGCAGGTGGTTTGTCACGACGGGGGCTTTTGCGAACTGACAGACGACGAATGGAGACAACGAGGGGAGAGATGGAGATAGTTGGAGAGAGAAAGTAGGAAGCTGCGCGGGCGAAGTCTCGCCGTCGACTGGCGCGCTTCCGCGTTTCCGACCCCTCTGATAACCGGCCGGCACTCTGCCCCTTTCCGCGCGTGCCACCCCCGCCCGCATCCTCGTATCACGCGCGCCGAACACCCCTCGTGGTCATCCCCCTCCCCCGTCTCGCGCTAATTCGCCTTTCGCTTTGAATAACGCGGATCACTCGCGTGCGCGCGCCACTCGCGTCTTATCTCGCGAACGGCAGCGAAAGAACTGCTGCGATCCCGGCGTTGACGGTCTTAGAGGACGCTCCAAGGTTACGCGCGTGTTGATCACCGCAGGCGGTGAAATGCATACCGGGCCGGGCATTGATAATCCGTTTTCCTCTTTTCACGTTTACGTTATCGCGAACGAAAATTGACTCGTACATTGAACTCGCGAAGTTCTCGTTCAAAATTTAAGCGACAATTGACATCCGATATTTCGGTAACTAATTTACAAGCATCTTATTTACACCTCTGAAGCTCAATGCGCGAAAAATTCATTACGGATTACGAATAGAACAAAAAGTATCTCAATATCCTAAGCGATATACAAAAAAACGATAAATTGAAGTAAATAATTACTTCACTATGTCTCAGTAACTCTTTAGTTTGATTGATTAAATAAATTTTACTTAAATCAAGCATATATTTATATATATGTGTGTGTGTGTGTGTGTGTGTGTGTGTGTGTAATTTACTTGGAAAATATTTTATTTGGATTAAATAAATATTATTTGACCCAAATAGAAATTGGTTAAGGAATATTGGAGTAATATTATTTACTTGAATCCAATATTTTGTTCTGTGCACTGCTTAAAACGCTGAGAAGCTTTCTTGTTCAATTCGTAACCAATACAAAATTTTGATGGTAGAAAGCACTTTTTTCTAGGTTAAGTTAATTATGTATCAATTTACCGGCTTATAATGCCGTAGACACGCATCGATGTTGCACAGTACTTGGATTCGCCGAGATCATACTAGTTTCGATATGCGATCTCTTTCGGAAGAAAACTTTTGCGACTTCGCGCGGCCATCTTCGGTTCCGAGTAAAGTAGTATTTGAAGGAGCGACCGAGCACTTTAGCGTAGTTCACGCGACTCGATTCATGTTTCCCGTACTCGTCAGTTGTTTAATTCGCGTCGGCAAACGGTTCTTTCGCGAGCACGCGGATTCTGTTCACATTGTCACTTGCCGAAAACGAGAGAACTCACCGTTGACCGTTACGTACTCGCGCCGCCATAATTAACTATCGGCGACTCATGTCGGTAGTGACGTGTTCTTTCTGTACCCTGAAATTATGCACGAGTAGTATAGAGACGAAGTACGTGATTGGCGGAGATCATCGACCTAAAGGACGAAACGCATGCCTGACGTCCCATACGCCTTAACGTATATTATCAAAAAACCCATTACAAAGCATTGCTACAAATAAACGTGTAACCTACAGTATGATATTGTAAATAAACACATGGTAAAAGAATAATGGTAATACATGATGGCATAAGAGATGTAAATAAATAAAACGATAATAATAACCGGGTGACAATTAATTCTCTGTGGTATTATTACGCGCGATAGACGTCCGCTCTTTGAGAATTTCAACATATTACCACGGAGGATAACTTCCACTATGCACCTAAAATATTTTTACTCGTTGCTTACCGAAGCAAATTTAAATGAAATTTGACCGCATACGCATCCTTTGACGAAATGGTGCGCATGAGTGCACAAACGTTTGTGAGTTTCTATCTAATGAAAAATGCACAATAAAAGCGTGAATCACAAAAATAATTCTTTACTGTTTTTTTCGACTTTCCAACGACCGGAAGTAATGCCTCGAAAATCATATAATGATAGAGGAATTCGTGTATCCCGTATCATTGTTAATCTTACGTTGTAATTGTAAAAAGAGATAGAAAATACATGCAATCTTAAAAATCTGTAATATCTGATGTTAAGAGAAAGTTTCGCCTGTCAGAAAATGATATTAATCTGGCAACCGTAAAGGATATTAAACCGCAGAATCCGAAAGTTTCTTATCGTGCCGCAGTCGGTTTATGAAACTCCGCTGTAATATTTGCGAAAAACGGCGTTCGCCCTTGTTTATTAATTCACTGCGGGAAGTTATGAAACATTAGCCGTTTCCTTGGGCCATAACGCGTTTACGAGCGAACTTACGCTCGTACAGACACGGAAAAGTATGAAATTCGATTTAAGATCGACTCGCAAGAGAGACAGACAAACTTTCGAATTTGAAAGCTACAAGAAAGAGAGAGAGAGAGAGAGAGAGAGAAAGCGAGCGAAAAAGGAAGAATTTCAAAAAGAGAGAAAGAGAAAGACAGAAAAAGGAAGTAATTCCAAAAATATGAATACTTATATATATCGCCCAAGAAAAAATCAGAAATGTCAAATGTGTATCAGAAATATCTCTCATTTCTTTTTCCAACACGAACTGTTCGTGAAATTTTCTATCAGAGGTATGTTCGTATATTCATTACTACTACTACTGAAAATCTATAGTTCATGTTACGTACACATAGATTTTTAGTGTGGCAGTGAATATTATATGTGAATATAGTCTATAGCAATATCTCTGAGGACAAATCGTCTTGGCGCGAAACTTGTTCTAATAAACTTCGGAATCTTTGAATAGGTGGCGTCCGTTTTGGCGGGCGACCGTTCGTCCTGTTGCAAGCCGTACCCTCTAGCTATTGAATATCAGTAACGAAGTAGCTGTAGTGTCTGTGGAAACCGGTCTGCATCGTGCTTCCTCGCGAGTTGCGCAACTGTCGTAAAAGCCGAAACACTGCAACTTTTGGCGCCAATCGAGCGAAAAGCGATACATAATTACGATCCACAATAAATAGCTGCAGAAGTGAGTGCGCAAATAAATAACAATATTAAAAACGTCCATCGAGCGATATGTGATAGTCATAATAGTTGTTTTACGAATACATTCATGAACATAACCTAAAACTATGTTGCAGTGCCTCCACGGAGAGCGACGAAACGGACTGCTGAAGATCCTGTGACCGCAGAAAAGGCGCCGAAGCAGATAAAAAAGAAGCAAGGTATGGTTTCACCTCGTTAGTTTTCGCTCTGTCGAGAATTCCTCCTCTTCTCAAGCATCTCATACCGCACGTCAGCTGTCGTAACCTATAAAGCCGCGAATATTCTGAACATATTTTCCATCGTTGAGCGGTAAAAATGTTGCTTTCCATACGATCTTTCGTGTTATTGCTACGAAGAAAGACTAACGTTCCTGAAAGATAACGCGGATTTTTTTGCAAATCGACACAAGTCGTTTATGTGCCCAGAAGCCGTTCCATATAATTTGAACATATCTCTCTTGCAGAAATAAGTGTAAAACCCGACTTACGGTCACTCTCTACTGGTAGCGTTATACTCGTGTTTGGACAAGGGGATGTTGGACAACTTGGTCTAGGAGAGGATGTTGTCGAGAAGATGCGTCCAGCTGCCATACCTGATTATCATGACGTTATAGCAGCAGCAGCTGGAGGTATGCACAATGTGTGTTTAAAAAAGACAGGAGAAGTATTGACTTTCGGTTGTAATGATGAGGGAGCACTCGGACGAGATACTAGCAAAGAAGGCTCTGAGACAGTACCAGGTACAGTCGAGTTACCTGGTAAAGCTATTCAGGTGACAGCAGGAGACTCGCATAGCGCAGCTTTGTTAGAAGATGGCCGAGCTTTTGCTTGGGGCTCATTTAGGGTAAGTCTACTTTAATATTGCGATTTATCTCGACACATTACATCTATTAAGAGAATTAATACTATAACATAACAAATACGTAACAAATTGATTTGTAAATATAGGACTCGCATGGTACCATGGGATTAACATTGAAAGGCAATGAACGACTTCCAATAGAAATATTACCTAATATAAAAGTAGTGAAAATAGCATCAGGTGCTGATCATTTAGTGTTACTTAGTGAAAATGGACGTGTATATACTTGCGGGTGCGGGGAACAAGGACAACTAGGAAGAGTAGCCTCGCGTACAGCTAGTAGAAATACCCGACAAGGAATGGGTCCATTACTGACACCAGGCTTGGTTGAATTCAAAGTCAGTAAGAAGCTTGAATTCGCCGATATATGGGCAGGAACTTATTGTACATTTGCCAAAGAAAATCAAAAAGGAGACATATATGTATTCGGCCTAAATAATTACTATCAAATCGGTAAGGCAGAAAATACGTTTGACCAAGATTGCATACTTCGATTCTATTTGCTCACGTATTCATTGGGAATGTTCAGGTTTGAAGGATGCCGCTACTCATTTTCATCCGCAAATGTCGAAGACGTTTAGTGGGAAAGTATGGAAACATATCAGTAGCGGGCAACATCATACCATTGCTCTGGACGATGAAGGGCAAGTTTTCGTGATGGGTCGCAAGGAATACGGTCGTCTTGGTCTTGGAACCAATTGTACGGACGCGAAGGAGTTGACCCCAGTCCCTGTTTTAAGTTCCGCGAAATGTATCGACGTAGGTGCGGGTAGCGCACAGTCATTCGCGGTCACAGAATCAGGTAATGTAATGTGAGGTTACGGCATAAAAATATGACGCTTTCTTGAAGAAGGAGTTAGACCAAAATATAATATATAGCACGTGCACATATCGTATAACGAATTTTAAACTGATATATGTATATATGATTGTATTAGGTGAGCTGTATTCATGGGGTATGGGTACCAGCGGACAGCTTGGCACGGGGGAAGAAGTAGATGTCGAAGAACCGATATTAATTAAAGGAAGACAATTAGAAGGCAAGACAGTGGTACGTGTCACTGGCGGTGGCCAACACACTTTAGTTTTGGCAACCGTCCGTCCGGTGAAGGATAAAACTGCAGGTTAACGTGTAGATGAAACGATATTACTTTGTGGAAATCCAACGTGTGATACTGACGTGTAGAAAATAAATCATGTCTCTTGCTCTCTTATTGTCCAATCTCATGTACAAAACATCTTGAAGTATTGAATATTTGAAGATGTTTATTGTTTATAAATTGTTTGGATAAAAGAAGGAAAGTTTTGATTTATTTTTACTGCTTTCACACACATGTCGGTGTCATATCGCTAAACAGAAGTGCGATGAAAAAATACAAATTCCTATTAAGCTTCCGTTTCTTTTCTGAAACTACACATTGAAATTTGTATATAATCAGTCGTGCTGCCATGGATTTCATCATCATGTTTGAAGATTAATATTGATTTCTTGAATTTGCGTAAATTTTACCCTACTATTGCTTACATATGTATTCTTAGTAAATAAATTGTTCTATTTACGAATCAAGAATTGTCTCGAAGTACACACATACACACACGCACACATAAATGAATACTTTGATGGGACGAGAGATTATATTTTGAATAATCAAGAAAAAAATGTTGAATGTAATGAATTTTCACGAGTGTAATGAAACATGAACGAAACTTATGTCATTTAAGTTTGATGAAGAATTAAATGTAAAAGTTACTATCGTAATATGCATTGTTTGTACTGTATGTTTTTGGAAATATGTTGTATCAATGATTATTAATTTTATTTTATACGTTGTATACCTGTATCTCTCTTTCATGCAAAATAAACCGTTTATAAATAACATGGCACTTTATTTATAATTTTATATATTTCGATATTTTCTTGTTTCATGCATGTATCGTAAAGCAAAATGTTAAATTAATTAAAAAATCGGTTCAATTCTTTATAAGCATCTTCTATGATAGAAATATATGAATTTTATCAGAACATTGACGAAAGATCATAGAGGATAATGACAATTAATCAGTTGATGAATAACTTGTTTTCACTAAAAGCAAAAAGAGAAACAATCAAATTTGAGTAAAAAATCAAAGTGAACTTTTTGACCCAATAACACAATCTGTAAGTGGGCGCTTTTCTAATAAGTAAATCGAAAAGTTCCGTCCATCTAACGGCGAGTAGCTATAGCTAGAATTGTCGGTAACTCTAATGTCTAAACCAAGTTTAATTTTTAAATTTTACCATCTGTCAATAAGATTGAATAAAATTCAGTATATAAAGGTATACGTTCGCATCAATAACATTGTTTCTTACTGCATCGAAAATGATAAAATTTGAGCCAAATAAACGTCATTTGCGCGAAGTGTTAATCTTTTGCTTCAAATGGAAGAAAACTGCAGCTGAAGCTCATCGAATGCTTGTAGAAGTTTATGGTGATAGTGCTTCTTCCGATAAAACATGCAGAGAATGGTTTCGACGATTTAAAAGTGGTGATTTTGGTGTGGAGGACAAAAAGCGTTCTGGACGGCCAAGAGCATTCGAAGACGAAGAATTGCAGGCATTGGTGGATGAAGACCCATGTCAAACGCAAAAACAACTTGCAGAAGCATTAAATTGTGCTCAATCTGTCATTTCTGATCGTTTGAAAGCCTTGGGAAAGGTCTACAAGGAGGGAAAATGGGTCCCATATGAACTGAAGCTAAGAGACATTGAAAGACGAAAAACCATTTGCGAAATTCTGCTTGCTAGGCAACGAAGAAAGGGGTTTTTGCATCGTATCATCACTGGGGATGAAAAATGGATATATTTTGACAACCCCAAACGTCGAAAAACCATTTGCGACCTCGGCCAACCCTCAATATCGACGCCAAAGCAGAATATCCACGGAAAGAAGGCAATGCTCTGTATTTGGTGGGATCAAAAGGGTGTAGTATACCATGAGCTGTTGAAATCTGATCAAACAGTTACAGAACATCTCTATCGAGAACAAATTATCCATTTGAGCCGAGCATTGCACGAAAAACGACCAGAATATGAAACGAGACAGCATAAAGTGATTTTGCTTCATGACAACGCTCGGCCTCACGTCACAAAACTTGTCAAGGAAACGTTAGAAGCACTTCGCTGGGAAATGCTACCCCATGCGGCTTATTCACCAGACTGTGCCCCTTCCAACTACCACTTGTTTCGGTCGATGGCAGACGCACTTGCTGAGGAACGCTTCAATTCTTACGAAGACGTCGAAAAATGGGTCTCTGACTGGATAGCCTCCAAAAACGAGTCATTCTTTTGCCGTGGAATTTGCTTGCTACCCGAAAGATGGGAAAAAGTCATCGCTAACGATGGACAGTACTTTGATTGATGTACTTTTTCATTTTATTTCTTAAATAAAACCATACTTTTTACAAAAAAACGGACGGAAATTTCCGATTTAGCTAATACCTTCCTGAACTTTTCTGAAGAATAAAACTATTGTTTTTAGCTGAGATTTCCGAATGTTATCGACACTATTTTGCTAAATCAGTTTGATTCTCACGCGTCCACTTACAGGTGAATATTATATATCAAGAAAGGATATTAAAATGGGAAATCTGGAACATTGAGAAATCAGAAATTTGAAGCATTTCATAAATTGTATCAATCTGTCTTATTTATTAATTTTATTATTATCAACTTATCGATAATAATAAAATACAGATTCCTTTAGTACAGTCTAATCCATATAAACTACACATTCTTCAAAAATGTACAATGGTCGGAAGGAAATTATAATAATTAACTTACAAGAGGTTATAGAAAACCCCCTTCAAATGCAACTAACGATGATCAACTTAACTTGTCTTTGGCTGCTCTTGTGATTTCGCTTCTTGCATTGAAAATTGTGTGAGTTTCTTTCCAATACGTTCATGAACGTCTAAATACTTAGCGATGCAACGATCCAGACATATTGACTCTCCCTTGCCTAATTCAGGATCGGTATACTTTGGTGTTATACATTTTCTGTGACATGCAGATGTCATACGATTATACATGTCTTGCATCATTTCTATTTCCAAATCTTGTACCAACTTAAGTTTCTCTTCATCTAATTGCGGTAATGTTGCCATTTTTTAAATGTTGCACTTTGATTATATCTTCTTGGAATTCTTTTTCTTCAATAATAAATTAATCTATCATATTCGACTCCTTAATGCGTTGTCTGGCTTTCATAATCTCATATCTCTTAGTATGAACGCTGTTCTTCGATAGGATGAAAGTGTAAATTCCTCCGGCAGCAATTATTACCCTGCAAATAGTGTAAAACAAAATTTCGCTAAAGCATGAATTTTTGCCTATTTATTGTTAATAAATGCAATAACCATTTAAAATCTTCTTTACTGCGTGTAAGTATTAAAACTCTGTGTATATATTTAAAAGTATGAAGTGAAGCATTTCTGATTTAATGATTATTAGATTTTTTCAAATATTTAAGGTTAACGTTGACACCGATTATCGCGATAACAATAAATATAAGCGACTCTATGAAATTATCCGTCGTGTATCGATGCGAACCTACCATCCAATTCCTACCTTCGCCCAAATTGACATAGCCATTTTTTTAAATGTTACTATCCATTAACAAGTGAAAAAATTGCATATACCTGAATTCAGATATCACGCGACCAACTTGAGAAGAGATGGTATTAAGTTGATATTACACGTATGCGGCTACCTACGGCTGTTCTCACATGTGGAATAAAGATTGCGTCCAAACGAGAGACACGTTCAGTATGTTACCAGTAATTCAGAGATTTGATTGGTGCACACAATCGATTTAAAGCCCACTTCAAATTAACACTAAAGATTGAGGATTGAAAGTTGAAACTTGACCAAATAGTGCAAAGCAAACCAATTAATTGTTTATCATCGAATACCAATATTTAGTCCGTAATCTTTATTCTCTAATATTTATTCTGATACGGACTCCTAATGATTACTCTTTGCGTTCTACTATTCGTTGTCAAACCAGCGGCACACGATGCTTATTTTCGTGCCGGATTGTTTGCAGGTCTGAAATACTGCGTTTTGATTGGTGTATTGTCATCCATTTTTGGAAATGCACCAATCAGAACGCAGTATTTCTATCCAGCAAGCAATCCTGCAAGAAACAAATATCGTGTGCCGCTGGCTTTTAGAACGGCTGTGAAGAAGCTGATCATAACATCAGCTGATTGTGACACTTTACTGGAGCACAATTAATATATTTTGTGTCTACAAAAGTAACAGATATATTTATGGGAAAAAACAGATATATTTATAGAAAAGAAGAAGGCACAAATAGAAAGGACACTGAAACACTTATGTCGGCATATAAAAGAACAGATGACGCAGATGTATTATTTTAATCGTTTAAAGATCGAGTGAAAAGTCGGTTTCTCCTGAAAGAGATGAATACATAAATACGTAAATAAAATCAATCATTATATTTGTGTAATTGCGGTATTATATAATGTAATAATTACTATAATGGCTGCGAAGATATATCAACCAGATCAAGAGCTAGAAACGAAAGTTAAGAAAGGTTAGTAGTATTTTCTTGCTGGTGATATCGCGTTTCAAATAATTTGCCAAATTTATTTGTCGTGTCAGTCTGACACACAATTAATTAATGAATACGATAATGTCTACCGCAATGTTGCAGCAACCGAACGGATATCGGAGAATATGCATATTGTGGCAAACGAGCCATCGCTTGCCTTTTACAGACTGCAGGAACATGTGAGGAAAGCGTTACCACCAATGGTGGAGAAACGTGTAGAGGTGTTAGCATTGCAGCAACAGTTATTAGGCAGATGTTACGACGTAGAGTATGCGGTCAGCGCGATTAAGACTATGCAAGGAGCTGGAAAGAGTTTTGAGAACACATTGGAGTTTATAAAGAATGCTATATTCTTTAAGCAGCAGCTGAAGTATGAGGAACAGCGGCGGAATAAGAAGGACAGCAACAGAGATTCCGTTTACAAACGCCTGTCGGCGCATATTCCCACTCTAGATCATCTGCCAGATGAAATATCCGATGTTGTCAGAGAGACTGCAAATCGAGTAGAATCTATGATGAATCATGCCAGACATTCCAGCGAGGTGCAGAGATCGGCTACTATCCATAATTAGAAAGATACATTAAGCTGTTTTGGAGTTTCCTGTGATAATTACTTGCTACTTTAACAAATTTTATGTATAAGTTGTAATATGCGATTCCATAATATTATTAATGTGTACAATCGAGATGTTGACAAATAATATACAAAATGTCTCAGAATAACAGCATGCGAAGTGCACAGAGAGATTCTTGTTACCAAATAAAGCAACTTTTCGTCTATCGTCCGTTTGCACAATAATTTTTAAATGAGAGATATTTCAAGTTTAAATTAGCATATTAAGTTGCATATTAGACTCAAATTAGGAACGGTCTGCGGAAATGCGGAATATCATATGAATCATTGTTTCTCTTCTATCTGAAAAATCGATTTAGAAACAAAAATAATACGCAGATATTTTTTTTTGACACTAAAAATATAATATTCTTAGATCGCAAATGTACATCTTCTTTCTCTTTTATACAGGGTGTCCCAGAATAACCGCATGCGGAGTGTATTGGGAGATTCTTGATATTGAAGCCGAAGCAGTTTCTCGTTTACCAAAATCCTATTCGAATGATAGTTTTAAAATGAAAGCTATTTAAGGTTGTTCAATTAGTGTGCTAGGTTACATGCGAGTCGACAGAGCAGAACCATGAAATGTCATGTGAGTTATGTAGGCTGTCCTTTTTATCTTATGTAACATCTTATTATATTAAAATGGCGACTGATATAAAATCAAATAATATCTAAAGGCTCTAGTAATATCTCAAGATCATGAATATTGTTTAGACGTTGAAACGATATTTCCTATAAAAAATTTATTTATATATATTTATATATATATTTATATATATTTATATATATATTATAATTTATTTATATATATGTCGTTTAAGCATATTATCTTATTATTATTATTTTTTTGAATTCTTCCAGTATAGCATCGATAAGAAATTCTNTATATATAATAATAAAGTATTTAATGAGATAGGAAACATTCTATATAACTTATATGTATATATCATGACATTTCATAATTCTACTCCTGAGTTGCGCACAATCTAATATATTAATTCGACAACTTTTAGTTCTCATTTAAAAATTACATTTAAACGCAATTTAGTAAACAAAAAGTTGATTTATTTGATAGAGAATTTCTCGGTACATTCTGTATGCGGTTATTGTTATGTATAATATATGTATCTCTTGTGGACATACAATTTTCGAGTATTTTTTAACATTTATAGTTGATTACATCTTACAAATTAAAAAAAAAAATTATAAATTTCATTTTGTCTAGTTCAAACTCAATTTGAATTCATTTTCAATTCGGAATTTTTCCCACGATGCATTATTATCACATATATATGCAGAAACTTGATTTGTTTGTTACAAATTGGTATTTTGCGTCTAAAGCAAAATTTCTGTTAGAATATCATATATGTAATATACATCAGATAACGAACGCGAGTGAATCATCCTGATGATGTAGTTATTTCGCTTGTTATCAGTTGCACTTTCTACACTTTGTCGTCAGATTTAAGGACTGTCTATATTGGAGATAGCAGCATTGCGGAGCAAGAGAGATTTTTTCAGTGAAATAAAGCATAATATCGGGAGTAAGTGAAATGGATCATTCCCATTTTTTACTCCCTACTGCCTTGCTACTAATACTATATTCTTTACTTAATATTGCTTATTTCCAATGTAGATGCCCTTTACTTATTACCGCTTACTTCTAATGTGGACGATCCTTTAAACGTACACATGTACACCTTGCACCTAACATAAAAAGTGCATCTACCAGCGAACGCACTCATGTCTGCTTCGGCAGCATGATGTAATCTTAAGGTAAAGTTAACGAACAATGCAGGTGATAAGGAAGCATGATCGTACCGTCATAAATATTGAGTATGCTAACAACACGCGGAGAATGATGTTTACTTGGTGATACCACTCAGACTTATCGATATATCATACGGTAAGTCAAATATCGTTTTCTGTTTTTAGGTTAGTTAAAATACATGTGCAGTAGCTGTACGACACTTGGTTGAAGATTTGACGGGATTATTTATCGTTCGTATTTATAATAACATAATAATGCGTGTACGTAAGCAAGAAGATATATCTGTTGTGCAAAAGTGATTTTTATCATTGATGAACCTTTTGACATTAGAACTTCCTTCCGCCCTTGATAAAAATTTACAAGGATATCCACAATGGTGTATTTCTCCAATTTTCATTCACTCTAATTATATTGTAATCTCAAAATAACAAGATCAAAATAAGGGACACATATTTTTCCATAAGTGCTAAAACGCAGATTTCTTGGTAATTCTTTGAGAAATGATCTTTTATATTTCTGAATAAAGCGATGAGAGATTTGAAGGAATGTCTTTAATCCATGAGTAGACACATGAGAGTCAAACTGACCATAGATGAACAAACATGAACAAACCAATATTTTTCCGTTTTTATTTTTGTTTTTGACGTTAGTGTTGTCAGTAATTTGCCTTCATCATTTATTCTTGGAGTTAGCGAAGTAGCATCAATAACATTTGAGAATCTTAGCTGATAGACAGCAATTGTTTTATTCTTCAAAAAAGTCATGCTCCCATTTATAGGTTAACAAAAACATAGCTTCAAAAATGCTTTACAATGATTTTACTAAATTCTTTAGAAATGTTAAATTTTTCAAAGTAATTTTACTATCTAATACTGATTTAAAAAATCTTGAAATTTCTTGTGATCGAATTAAAGTTTTTATTTTATGCTGAATTTAATTTTATATCTTAATGTTATATTCCAAGTAAACATTTCGAGGAAATTAGCTGAATAGACTTGATATACAAATCATAGTCATAGATATCATCACAAGCACATCATCATAAGCACATCATAGATATGCAAGTTATCAGTATAAAAAATAGTTTACGATTCAATCAAGTGTGTGTAACAAATTCACTACCAATGTCACACGTGTGATGTAATGGTTTCTCGCGAGAGACTGGCATCATACATGTGTGAAAATTAAATTTTATTTCTATATTGATATTATCAAACTAAGTCTATTTTACATAATTACATGAAATATAAGACGAAGTGGTCTGTGGGAAGAATTACCCAAATAAATCTTGGTAGCGAACATGTTAACACTTTCACAACCGCTGACACCAATGTGGTGTCATGGGCAGGCCAGTCGTTGTATGCCGGTGACACTCATGTGGTGTCATTGGTAGGCCAGTCGTTATTTGCCGGTGACACTCACGTGGTACCATTGATAGGCCAGTCGCTATTTGCCGGTGACTCCCACGTGGTACCAGTGGCAAGCTACTTGCAAAACTTTTCTTTTGTCACGTCATAATAATGTTAATTGTTTCATGAATTTACGTAAAGTTTTTTCTTCCAAAATATTGCCGGCCACTGGCGACGTTTTACTGCGCTAACATGCGGTTGTGAAAGTGTTAATATGTAATTTTGTTCCATCACTAGTTTCATCCTCCCTACTTCAAATTTATAAATATAATGGAGAAGGTGGTATTATATAACTCTTTTAAGTATTATAGCTCCTCTTAATATTTTCATTATTAGGTGACGAATTCTAGTGATTGTTTATGGAATTATTTATTTATTAATAGCCTGCCGTTACTTAGTAGCGCTAATATGCCAATATACAATAGCCGGCATTTATTACAATGCATTTTTACTTTTGAGGATTTCGAAATATTTTCGAACTACATTTTAATATTTAATTAATCATATTTTCTCATTCTTCTTAAATTTGAGCCTATTATCACATGAATATATGTACATTTAAATATTTCGTTTTTTTAATATTACATTCAGCTGTACATATTTCGAGTTATGCAAAGTTGAAACAATAACATAGCATTTTGCTAATGTGGTCCTTTAAGAGTACTAATAATATGACCTTTCTTTCAAGGTTTTTATACCGAAATAGTTATTCGACATATAAATCAATTCTAATCTATATACTATATATTCTAATTTATAATCTATATATTAATTACCTTGTGAATTTATAGTGAACAATACTTAGTAATAGAGCCGTTGATTTTGGAAACAATATTATTATTGATTACTAAATACACACACGATTACTTACCAGCCGATTACTATAATTTGCAGTTAGCAATAAGATTTAAAAGTTGCGAAGGTTTCTAAAAGCATCGTGAATACCAAGAAGATTTAAATTGCACCAGTAATTCACGTTATAATTTAGATTGCGTACAATTGTTAGTTTGATACGGCTGAGCGGTTACGTTATAACTAATTAACGTTTCGTTGTAACGTTTTGCGTCACGGTATATTTCACTTCGTAGTCACGTCACTTAATAACGCTATTTCTATTTCTCATAACAACATCAAAAGATAGTGAGTCATGGCGTTGATCGTCAATATTGGATCAATTGCGCGTGCGGGTTCCATACCCCCGTCCTCTCAGACTCGCCCACATAACGGGCCTGGGACTTCCTTGTAATTTTCATCCCCGCGTATGACGTCCGACCGTCGTACGAAATGAATATTCCGCTCGCGTCTCACGGGAGAAACCGCTCGAGAAGTATGCGTTATAACGTCATACGTTCCGCGTATGGGGACTGACTTTAAATTACGCCAAGTAACGAAGTTCAAGTCATAGTAGAAGCTTGAATTTTTCCAACGTCGAACGGAACGATATATTTAAACGACGTATTGTACGACGTCGGATATTTGATCAGATGTTTTATTGTATATCTTAACTGTAACGGTTTTTCAATATGCTTCATCATGCTTCTTCTTCTTTAGCAAATAACGAGAACAATCTGTTTACATAAGATAATATATACGATAAAATTGCACGGTTCTGTCTAAAGGAATGGATAATCTTCTGTATTTTCTTTTTTCACCTTTTCTTCGCCTTTAACCCTTCGTCGACGCATGTATATCGTGTACAAATGCGCGTTCAGATTTACTATTCGTTCTTGGCGAATACATTTGCCCACGCTTGGTAGCCGTTTGGTGCACTATTGTGGCGTGTTGATTTATTCAGAGCCCGACGGTGTTTACGGATCGGCCCGTTGAATTAACATAAGATCGTGACGCGAAAGCGCGGAAACGCGAGCGACCGATTGATCGTTTCGGGTTCCGTCTGTATGAATGAAATTTCGTAAACGACACCATTACGTTCCAAATAATATGTACGCTCGTGAATACTCTGCCTATCAGCGCGACCTATCGCGTATAGAGATGTAAATTCATCGTGAATGATAGCAGCTAAAAAAGCGGCGTGTACGGAAAAAAAGTTAGATGTGGTTTGAAGTGGTCCTTGGAAATTATTTTATTACCTGTCGGCCTGCAAAATTTACTGACGAATCTAACTGCATGCGTTTCTTCATATTTTTATCTATGCAGATGCAAGCCATTAAAGATTCGCTAGAGCAATGCTGAGACTTAAATAGATGCACATAGATGCACATATATTGAGCAGGGGAGGTATTCGCATATTTCACCTTTCTTGGAATAATCTTGCGTGAATGTTTTTTCAGAGAAAAAACAGTATTACAGCGTGCCGTTTGACTGATCGATACTAGTATAAACAATATGTCCTTACGGGTATATTCATCGATAAAGATATATGCATAATTTTAAATAGAAAATATTCTGTTATATAAAAAGATCAGTTAAGACAATTCGAGTTAAGTTAGCTCCATTTCAAAGTTGTATTATACAGGGGAATCAAATCCTTTCAATTTTATTAACTTATTTATTTAATATTAATCTATTATGTATATCACAGGAAAAGAAGTGATATCATGCCTCTGCTTCTTTTATTTACATTTTGTACAATAACTTTGTCGACGATCGAAATTTCATATTGAGGACTGAATAATTATATTTGTCAAAGTGTTGTTCACAATCGATTCTCTACCCGATGTTATGAAATATTTAGTACTTAGGACGTTGTTTATAAAAATATGGTGATACTGTATAATGGGGAAGAGAAACAAGGGTGGTAATGTGGCCCACAGTTAAAATAAATTAAAAAAATTGAATTTTAAAAAAATAACCGAGTATTTTCTTATAAAATTATATATGTATTCAAGATCACAGTCTTAGAAAGAATAACACAAGTACAATCGTGAATTTTTCATGTAAATACTGACTTACTTATCAAAAGATGCAGTCTGTCAGAAGGACAGCAGTCCAAACAGAAGTGTAACGGTAAACTATATCGATTAGAATTGACTTATCGAATAACTATTTCAATATGAATACCTCGAAATAGAAGTCATATTATCAATATTCTTAGGGAGCCATATTAACTAAAATGCTATGCTATTTTTTTAATTTTACATTACTCGAAATGTATACAGTTGGCCACAAGATGGTTGCAATAGTTTTCTTTTTTACATGTTTTGGAACACACAAAACACATGACGTAGCGAACCTATGATTTACGAACATGTGCAGTAGTATCGTAATATAATATGTAATTTATTTTGTCATGTACATACATATCTAATTTTGACATTCTTCATACTATTATCTGTGTATACTCGGTCATAGGGTAGTCGGAACAGTTTTTCTTACATATTTCAGAACACACAAAAATACGACGAAGTAAACATATGATTTATGAATATGCGCAATAGATAAACAGCTGTCAAAATTAGATATGTATATACATGTTAAAATAAACCGATAATAAATAGATATGTATATACATGCTTAAATAAACTTTGCTAAATATTACACATGTGCATATAATTTGATAACTGTTTATCTACTTTTTCGATAACTATCTACTTTTATGTGTATTTCGAAATATAAAAATAGAACTGTTGTAAAAATAGAACTGTTGTAAAATATATTACACGTGTGCATGTAATTTGATAACTGTCTATCTACTTTTTTGTGTATTTTGAAATATATAAAAAAAAACTGTTGCAACCGTCCTGTGACCAACTGTACGGCCAAATG